CTTGGTTGGAGTCCTAATACTTCTGCCTGCTTATTTGGGTACCTTCAGCAAGGCTTCAGCTCTCAGGGCCTCTGTATCCTTACCCCAGAAACGGTGTAATAATATCTTGTTTGAAGATTCCTGCAGTGTGGGCAGCGACTATTCCTGCTTCCTGGAGAAGCAAATGGACACCCTGAATATTACCAGTCAAGCTAGTGGAGGAAAGGTCTCCCTCCCTGCCTGGATCTCAATGCTCCCTGCCAAAGTGCCCTCCACCTAAGGTCGTGTGTGTGTGTGTGTGTGTGTATGTGTGTGTGTGTGTGTGTGTGTGTGTGTGTGTGTGTAAATGAAGAACTGGTCCTCTCAGGAAGTCGCTTCTCTGGATTACTTTGCCAGGAAAAAATAAGAGGGAAAGAGGGCTCGTGCACCCGGACATCTCTGTGTGTGGGTGCACAGGTGTGTACATGTGCATACACATGCTCTCACACCACTGTTTCACAACCGCCAGTACCACCAGCCGTCAAGACCCAGCACCACCTAAAACGTCCCACTACTCACCCCTTGCCAACTCTGCTGTCATTCCCGCACCTGTCCCTCTGTATTCTCCCTCTTCTCTGTCTATGGCCCCATCACCTTGCCTCACAAGTGAAACGGAACTTTTCAGTTTACACCTGTGAAGTGGTCAGAGCCTACCATCAAGGTGGATGCTAGCATGTGAGCCTCGTGATTCCATAATTTGAGGACACTGGCCTTGGTTGAGGACATTTAGGGTCTAACCCAGACAGGAGAGGTCTGGTGTGACTTCATGTGGTAACCTGGGCCCAGCAGGTGCCCCTGCTGCCATGCTGTGGGTCTGGGCTCTTCTCACTCTAGGATGCCACCTCTGAGCAGAGAGTAAAAACAATGAACCTCATACAGAACTCTTTGGAGGGGAAATCATGCCCACAGATGCATGCACTCTCTAAAACACATGTGAGCAGTCTTCTAGTTCTTTCCATCTTGCCTTAATGGTAAGAAACACTGCTTTGAAGCCAGCAGAACTAGGTAGGTCTAGATCCCATCGAGGCTCGCAGGGGTGATGTCACCCTCTGACTTTGTTTCCCTGCCTATAAAATGGAGCCGGAAGCATTCCAAATCAGTGCAGATACTGAGTGTATGAGGCTCTGACTTCAGTCATTTTACATTCATCTATTGAGTTCCATTGCTGTGCCAGGCACCAAGGCCTTGAGAAATGGCGGAAGCAAAAAATCAGCCCTTCTTTCCTGGAGCCTTCAGCCTGAACGGAAGGCAGATACAGCACATGCAAACCTCGATCCCTCAAACTCAGGGACTCCAGGAAAGGTACTCTTCCTTATTCTTCTAGACTCAGTTTCTATTTTGAGACCATATTCTTTTAGACTGATGGCTCAGTCATTTTCTGCAGAGTTGTTCGGCTTGAACAGAGTTCTGATAATTGTGACAGCATCACCTCCCCTGCACTGGCTGTAGCCTCAGGATTCTCCAGGCTTTAGTCTCTAAAGGGCCTTGTTGGTCAGCAGCAGGTCAGATCCTGACTCCTCATGCCAGTTGCTTTATATCTAATGAGTTCTCTCTGCACATCTATCCCTCCTGGCTGTCAAAGCCCTGCCCACCATGACTCTTGCCCCCTAGCATACTGTAGCTAGGAGCGCTCTCCAAATCCAAGAATTGACCTGTGTCTTCCTAGCTTTAAATCCTATAGTGATTCTCTAGTATTTTTTGTTTATACATCACATGTAAAATAATATATGATATATACCATAATATATATGTGTACATACACATATAGCCTTGTTTGCTTCTCCTATTTGTCCCTGAAATTTCTCCTCCCTTCCCATCACCTGTGGGAAAGCCACAATTAAAAAAATACATGTACATGCTTATTCCATGTGAGACACTTGGTTTGTATGAACTCATAGTCTTTGTAGATCCCCTAATAATTATTACTGTCTCGTTTTTAACTTCTGGGGAAACTGAGGGGTGGAGAGAGTAAGGCCACACAACAAGTGAATGGCATCCAAGAAGGACTCAAACCTGAAGACTACAGTTTCCAACTGTACTTTTAACCCTGAAGTTAAACCCCTAATTAAGAACTGTGTGCTTCCATTGAGGCCATCTTCCTTCTTGTCACCAAGGCTTGGTGTAAGCATTCCTCTGCTTGGTTACCTTCCTGGTGTCCTTCATCTTGCTGGCCTTTTACCCAAGACCCTTTCTCACCCCTTCCACCATGAGCCTTGGTTGGATCAAGAGCCTTGTGCGGGTTCTAATGGTTCCATGCAGCTCTCATTAGGGCATTGGCTAGTAAGTGTGAATTCACTGTCTTATTGTGCATGGCTCCACTGCAAGAAAATGGTATTCTTCTTAGGATGCCCAGTTTGCTGAGTGAGTGGCTGTTAGTTCAGCTAGCCTCAGGGTTTGTCAGGGATGACCCATCAATAAGCATTTCTTTCTCTTTCTTAGAAACCTTTAGTTTTATTAATGAAAATTCTATGTGCTTGTGTGCACCTGTGTGGACATGTTCACATGAGTGAAGGTAACCATGGAAGCTAGAGGCATCAAATACCCTTTAGAATTGCAGGCAGGGTATGATCCACCTGATGTGGGTGCTGGGAACCAAACTTGGGTTCTCTACAAGAGCAATATGTGCCCTTAACAGCTGAGCCATCTCTCCAGCTCCATCTATAGGCATTTCTTAAGCACCCACTGTGGGCTCAGTCCTGAGCCAAGCATTCCAGGAGAAATAAGGACAATGAAGATAAGATTTGGTTGACTATAAGGTTGGTCTGGCAGAGCATATCCCAGCCAGCTGGAGATTGGCATCAGGCCAGAATCTCTGTGTCTAACTTTAGTGTTAGATCTTCAGTCACTTCCCTTCTCTTCCTCACCTTCCTGTTGTCCTGTTTCCCCCAAGTCCTGATGATACATAGTTAAAGGAAAGGATATGACAAATCATGACTATAGCAAAGACTGGTGTCATGGTGGCTATTGGTGTCTCCTAGCAAGGTGGAGGCTATCCCCACCTCACTTGACACACTGAGTATCATCCTTCCATTGAAATGAGAAAACTGGTCAGAGGAAGTTCTCAACACTTTCAGCCAGTAAGCAGCTAACATTCAAATATAAATTCGCAAGTCTTTTCTGCTTCCTGGATCCCTCTGCTTCCTCTGTACAATGTGTTTGACAATGCCCAGGCATGCCATTGACTCTCCCTGCCTGCTTTCTCCTGTGGTCCTTCTTATTATGCTTCACTTCCTGCTACCTTGCCTTCATAATGTGGCTGGCCCTCTACCCAGAACCTCCTCAGCCCTTCTTTGCCTCATCAAACCTCTGGACAATGTTGTTCAGTCCCTCTTCTAGAAACCACCCTACCATCCTACCAGGCTATAAACACACACACACACACACACACACACACACACAGAGAGAGAGAGAGAGAGAGAGAGAGAGAGAGAGAGAGAGAGACAGAGAGAGACAGAGAGAGACAGAGAGAGAGACAGAGAGGGAGGGAGGGAGAGACAGAGACAGACAGACAGAGACAGAGAGGGAGGGAGGGAGAGACAGAGAGACATCTAATAACTCTCCTCTTGTAAGAAGACTGACTGGTCAGGGTCTGGGGAGAGGGGTCGGGCAGTACATTGCTTGTCTTCCAAACACAAGGACCTGAGTTTGATACCTAGCATGTGGAGGTGGGGGTGGGTGGGGGTGGGGGTAGGAAGAAGGGTGGGTGGGAAGGGTTCCAGTTCAGTTAACTCTGACTTAGAGCTAAGTGATGGGTCTAAAATTTACCCTCTCATTCCCCCAAGTCCACCTGGGAAAGTGAGCTCTGGATAGCCATAGTCTGTCTGGCTTTGTTTTCCCTCATTCTTTTATTAGGTGCCTAATTGGCAGCCCAATTAATCTGCTCATCTGTGAAGGAGGTGAGTGCCTCCATTTCCAGAAGCCATTCTCTGAGGCAGCATGGCCCAGCCCTGAGTGCCGGCTGGCTCCTTGATGGAGGGCTGCCCAGGGAGCCAGGGTCAATTAGCGGACAGATTAAGCAATTATTAGCCCCTAACAAGGGCGCCTGGCATCATTACCCTGCCTGTTTATTGGCAAACTGCAACTCTAATATGAGGACCAACAAATAAATTAGGGCATCTGGTCCACTGCCGCGTCAGCCGAGAAGTAAATGATGTCCAACTGGCCCTGGGCTGCCCATGGATTCTCAGCCTGGCATAATGAAAAGCCTGAGATGTCCCTTGCTGGTCACAGCGGCTTTGGAATGAACTCTGAAGTGATTTATCATTCCAAGAGCTAAGTGTCTGCTGCTGGGCACATGAATTGTTCTTAGTTACCCTGCTGTCTTCCTCATGCCTGTCTGTCAAGATCTGTAAGGGCCCAGTTCAGAGGCTCCCTCTTATCCAGTAGGAAACAAGTCCCCTCTGCATTTGGGAGAGTCTTCTACCACTTTATGGCATTACACCAACTTCATGAAACGTTAGAGCAGTATTTTGACTGTATGTTCACGTCTCCAGTGGAGAAGCAGACACATGAAACAGAACAGAGGGGAGGGACAGAGCTGAGGGCTGTTTATGTCACTCAATCCCTTTCCTATGGATAGATGCAGAGCATCATCAGAAGGGTACTAGAGGGGACACTTCAGGAATGCCCCTGTGGTTACGTGATGATGGCACCTTCCTGAATTTGTTGCTGTCATTCAGGACTCCCAAGGCCCAGCTCAAATGCTTGGAAAACCCTCTCTGCTCCATCTGCATGAAATGCTTCCCTGTCTTGTCCCTAGGCCACAATGCGATGTCTTGAACCACCTTCTGTTAGAAAAAAAAGATATATTTGGATTATTCATTGGGAAATACCTAGTCATATATTCATAATTATATATAGACAGTAGCTGGTGACAGAAGCCAAAAGTGACTGGCCCTCTTGTCATTTTATGGACTAAGAAAAATGTGCCCCCCTCCTTCTTGAAACACTTGAGGCTAATCCACACTGGTCTCTCTTCCTAGGGATCATTGACTTCCTTGTCAGTCAGCATCCAATTGCCCGTGTCCTACGAGAACACTTGGTCTTCAAGATTGCACCAATGCTCAACCCTGATGGAGTCTACCTGGGCAACTACAGGTGAGGGACTGGGGAAGATGTTTAAAAGCAGAAAGTGACAGGATGGAGGTATGAAAACCGGAAGAAACCAGGTAATAAACCTGAGAAGGAATTTCTAGACTAACCATTAGAGGCATTATTAGAGGAAATTTAAAAATTATAAAAAATGTTACTTCACCTCCCAAGAGCAGCTAATGTCCTTGGCCATTTATAGACAACTATCCAAAGTCACTTGCTGGGGTTTTCTGAGCAGACTGATAGACTAAGAACCAGAAGAACTAATATTAATTTTAGCACCTACTTCTTCTATGTGCTTGAGGGACTCACTTTTCCTCTATGATGTTCAATTTGTCTTGTATAAGAGACAACAATTCAGGCCAGGCGTTGGTGGCACACACCTTTAATCCCAGCACTTGAGAAGCAGAGGCAGGTGAATCTCTATGAGTTTGAGGCCAGCCTGATCTACAGAGCGAGTGCCAGGATAGGCTCAAAAGCTACACAGAGAAACCCTGTCTCGAAAAACAAAAACAAAACAAAACAAACAAACAAACAAAAGAGAGAGACAATTCTCCAGCAGGGCAGTCGTATTGGAAAGAATGGAGAGGAATATACTTTGTAGAACTACAGATGATGGTTATAATGCTCCCTGGGCTGTTGCTGTGTTTCTCCTGGAAGATCATTAATGAGCGAAAAGAGGAGCACGGATCATGTGGACAGTACTTCTCTTTGGGTGGACATGCCACTCAGCCTCATTCCAACTCATATGCCATATGTTGAATATTTTTTCTCCTGTCATAGAACCATAATTTACAGCTTAAAATTCCACTGCCCAGGGGATCATTTGCCAAAAGAACATTGAGTTCTCAAAGATAGATAGTCTTATTACCCTTATTTCACAGCTGAGACAACTGACTTGCCCAACACCACATAGTGGTAGATAATTGACTGTCTAACTTCACTGCCCACATTATATGACTTTAGATTTGATCAGGTCCATAACCTTGGAGACAACAGCCATCCTCCCCACACTTTGCATATCAGGCTTTGTGTGACCTGATGCCTGTGTCTGCCCTGACTTTAGTCTGTCCCACTCTCTTTCCTCCCAGAGATGTTCCTCTGACTTCTCCAAGACAAGCCTGTTGCTCTTCTCCAAGCAAAGCCTAATGCCCCAAAGAAGCATGTTGGCTCCTGCTACTTTTCCTTTACGACAGAACCCTTTTTGTAAAACCGTTTCATCCCTTATTCACCTGCTCTCTTGGCAGTTCAGCTTACGTCTGTCTTTTAGAAATCGTTTCCCTGCCGGGCGGTGATGACACACGCCTTTGATCCCAGCACTTGGGAGGCAGAGTAAGTTCGAGACCAAGCCTGGTCTACCGAGCGAGTTCCAGGACAGGCTCCAAAACAATACAGAGAAACCCTGTCTCGAAAACCCCCCCCAAAAAAAAAACCAAAAAAAACAAGACAAAGAAATCCTTTCCCCAAACCCCCAGAAGAAGTAGCAACTGCCTTCTGTGTTCTCACAGGTCTTGTTATTGAAAAAGGAACAAGAAGCCAATCAATCATGGGAATTCATTACTACAGCTTTGGAAGGTGTTCATGAACCCATCAAACTTCAGGTTCCCAGAAATAGGACAGTCATTGTGTCCTCACTATCTAGCAGCAGAAATGAGCAAATAACAGATGCTCAGAAAAAGATGAGTGCAAGTGAATGAAAGGGATGGCCATAAAGATAAAGAAAGAAAATAGATGAGACTTCCAAGGCCCTTGGCTGAGTTCAGATATAAGATATCCCCACAACCAGCTAGAACCATTTTACACAAGGCTGTTTTAGTACTCTCTAAAACCATGGAAATTGGGTCCAGAGGGGCTCTCTAGCACCCTCTGGGTCGGAGAGAGACCCATGGGATGCATGAAACCTTCATTAAAGTCAATTTTGCTTCTTCTCTTAATTGGCTGGAGTGATGGCTCATTAGCATCTGCAGGTTTTATGGCTTGTTGCAGGCCCAAGAGTAATCCCGTTCTACCTTCCCCAGACAGCATGTGTGGTTAGTGATAATAGTGGTAGAAAGGCCATTTGATTTATGTTAACATTTCTGTTTAATTACAAGAGCTGCAATGATCAGAGAGAGGTCAATTCTGCCGTTCTACATGCTTATTTATGTCATCTTCTGCTGTCCAGGGAAGGGTTAGCTAGAAATAGGCCCATGACCTTGGTCAACATGCCTCTTTTCCGTCTGGTTTGGGTGGTCAGGGTGTAGGAAAGAAGGAAGATGCCTTCTATACATCTTCAAGGTCACGATTTTGTGACGGGGGAGGGGGTAGGCAGAGGGCAGGTAGCTCCACTGCCCTGAAATAGTTTCATGGTAAAGTTTCAACTCCCAACATTTTCCTAAGTAACAATATATGATTCTTTCTTATTATGAGAGTTGCAAAAAGTCTCTAACCACAGCATTAATTCCTGTTATTAAAACAGATCGGAATAGCCAAATGTAGCCTATCAATCATGAGTATTCGTTTCTACAGCTTTAGAGTGTAGGAAAGACAGTAATAAAGACTGAGAATGCATAGTTTCAAGGTGCCCTAGAAGTCCCCACACCGGTTCCACCAATGCAGCTTCCCCTGATTCCAGTTTCTTCATGCCAGGTCCTCCCATGCTCTCTCTGCAGCAGTATTTATTGGGTTTGCTGTAACTTTCTAAGGTGTATGGCATGGAAAAGAATCCAGAGTTCAAATAAATTTGACAAATGCTGAACTAAGTGAAGTTAAACACAGAATTCACAATAAGACCTTTCAGAATGGTGCATATGGCCATGAACACAAGCAGGACCCAAAGAGAAAAAGAGACCTCAATGTTTATAAAAGGTTAAGTGCTATGGTCCATACAGCCCACCACCTATGTTCGGGTTATGAAACATTTTGGGTAATGGCATTACAAGAAGTCTGCTTGCTGACTCAATGGTCTGTCAAACCCTCACACATATTTCATCTCATCCTCACAACTCTGAAGGAAGGGCTCTGTTAGGCCTTTTCTGCTTGCAAACATAAAAATCCACTCAGACTAGCTTAGTAGCAGAGGGATGGTTGCAAGGGAAGGAAAGAGGGAGGTTGGACTTTAGATCTCTGGGGCAACATACAAAGCCAGAGTTCACAGGATGCTGGTGAGATCACAAGACAGCGGTCAGAACACAGGCAGTCATGTCTCTGCTTTCCTCTTGTACCCTTTGACTTTCTTTCTCTCAGCATCTCCCTCTGAAGGTTCAGTGCCCTGGTGAAGCTAAATAATCTGCCCCAGGTCTATGACCAGTGATGGGTAGGCAAGGATGAAGGGCTGTCCTCCCTGTCGTCTACCCCGCTGCAGTCAGGACTGGACCTGGCTGACTCTGAGGCTATAGCATGACAGGACTGCCTGCTATGAAGCACCTCATGTGGGTGGAAAGGCAGGTCCCAGGCCACTCCCCTGCACTGTGAAGGGATGTAGTAGCTATCTACAGAGTCGTGAAGGTCAGTGAGTGATAACATGGCCTTTGGTGTTAGTCAGGTGTGACATCAACTTCTGATCCACCATCTATGTGGCCCAGGACCTTGGATAACTGACATTGCCTCACTATGCTCTATCTATCTATCTATCTATCTATCTATCTATCTATCTATCTATCTATCTATCTATCTGTCTGTCTGTCTGTCTGTCTGTCTGTCTGTCTATTTATTTATCAATCAATCATCATCTGTCAGTGGGAAATGAAAGAGTTATGAGAACTTTGGGAGATACTATACTTCAGGCACAGTACTGGGCATGTTGTAAGTTCTAAATAAAAATCTCTTCCTTCCCTCTCTTCCTCCCCCTTACCCTCTTTTCTCCATATTAATGAAGCATGTGATCCAATATAGGAAAGAAAAACACAGTCAATTTCCCACTTCTATCAGCTCAGACTATATATTTAATAACACAAACACCTACACTATAGTGCTAATAGTCAGGTAGAGAAGGTTAATGTAACCTGGGTGTGTGGCTCAGTTGGTAGATTCATTGACCAACACTCACAGATCTCTGAGTTCAATGGCCAGCACTGCATAATACCAGACAGTGACACATGTCTATAATCCTAGCACTCAGGAGGTAGAGTCTGGAATGTCAGAAACTCAAGGTCATCCTTGGCTACACAGTGAATTTGAGGGCAGCTTGGACTCCCTGAAAAAGAGAGAGAGAGAGAGAGAGAGAGAGAGAGAGAGAGAGAGAGAGAGAGAGAGATATGCACACACACTTTACTCTAGAACATAATAGCAGCAGATCAGCAGATGGTTGTTATACTATTCCGGGAATATTCATTATGCTAAAGAGCAGCAGAGTCTACACACTAGATTACTGTGTGTGGTACCATACTGTGACTGTGTTAAGAGTATATATGACCCATATTCAAGTTTATGTCACAATATTAAGCATCCATAGTATATTCCACAGCAACTTCTACAATTGTTATATGATACAACAATACATAACCTTTATTGTGTAAAATAAAGACATAGGGCAGATATGCACTCTATCTTGATCACAACACTCCAATTACAATTCCCGTTTCCCCTTGCAGATGTCAGGTCTCAAAGTGATCCATGGGAAGGCCTTCCCAGCACCTGTATAGACAGTGGGCTCCCCACTGTACCCTTTCCCAGCACCTAGCATCGTCTTGGCCTGATTTATAATCATGTATATGTGTCACTTTGTCTGCCTTGTTCCCTTTCAGGCCTGTCATAGTGGCTGACACAGAATGAGCCCTTTATCTCTGTTTTCTGAATGAACAAATAAACTAAGCAGTGGTTTGTACTGATTGTGCTGTGACACAAAGCTGAATTCCCCAGAAGAGAGGAACTACGGCTGGGTGCTGTCAGTCTCCAACCCCACCTGTTTAATCGCATACTACTAAGACATGACTACTCTTCCGATTTAACAGGATGAATGACTATCAGGACCTATCAAACTTTCCATTCCAAGGCATCACTCTGTTATCTCATAGAGCCCAGTGCTT